TAGTTAGAAGGTTCCCAGGCAATGCCCGCTCGCCGTTCTGACAAGGCTAGTATAAGAGAGAAATTGACAACAAACTGATAAATTTTGATTAAATTATAATGAATGTTGAAATTATAATTTGTAAAATTAAGCAATTTAGTGGCCTCCACTGTAAGATGGTAAATTTTGATGTAGCAACTTGAAAAATAATTATAATTTCAGATTTGAGGAGCATTTCGTGATCTCTATTTTCAGTGTTCAAAATGAAAATGTCATAAAATGAGATTCCAGTTTCTCACGGAGACAAGTATGAAAATGGCTGTCTTCTTGGATGTTGCATCGTTTAATCTGACATTTCACAGGAACATACTGCCTCCATTATAAGGGTGATCTAATCATGGAAGCAGTAAGTTCCAACTTTGTGTTATGTTACCATGTTAGCACACTTGAAAGCGAAAAATGTGTGTGGAAACCTCCAAGGATACAGAGCCACAGGCAAAAAGAAAGAAAGGAGGAAAAGAGGAAAGAACATCGATTAGTACTGTTTCGTATTCGGAAATTACCGGGTTCAAATCTCGACCCGGACACCAGCTATACTGAGAATTCCGTCGTTTTATAAATTCTATCAGGCCAAAGCTGACTATTTCTTCCTTCTATATCTTGTCTCATTCATTATTCATCAATCTTGCGATGCTATATAGGCTAAAAGCATCGTTAAACAAACTATAAACATTCCTCTCTACAAGTAATAGTACAATCTTCAAATCTGTATAGGAAGGGATGCAATTATCTGCTTTAGTCCAAAAGTCATTCAAGGCGGCTTACCTTTATTGTATAGCATTTGTGTAGGAGAGACTTTTACCACGTTTGACGAGTCAATTGTTTAAAATTTGTTTTTATTTAGTTACTTTGATGAGCGCTTGGGTCGACAAAACCCTTTATCAGTTTAGTAATGAATTAGTCTGTCAATCAGAAATCTCTTGAAGAGATATTCAACGACTTACAGTTTAAAGAGAATTTATTTACTTAGTAAGGTTAATAATCCACTGATCTTAATAATACTTAGTCCGAACATTGGCCTGTGATATCTTCTGTTTAATTTTATTTTCGTTGTCTTTCCAGAAAATTAAATTGCCAGAAATAGACCACGACCGCTTCCACTACATATATTTCAATCCCCCGCCATTACTAGGAATGACGTAAATCGGAACAAAGTGTCACCCTACGATACGATAAAATTCAGTTAATTTACAATGCGAGTTTAAAATCAATATACATATTATACGTTAGGCTATTCCAATCAGCCGAAACGAATCCGTCGTATTAGTAGTAGTCAAATTGGTATTCAGGTACTGCAGAAACCGAACAAAAATTACCTCGTGCAGTAAAATTGGATTTTCTGAAAGAAGACGACAAAATAGTGTGGCTGATTAATCTAATGTGCGGTTTATTTACGACACTTCTCAATATTCAGACCCTTCCCTCAGCTCTGCGCTCCACAAATAATTACCAATTAGTGGTTGTCGCCTTCAGATGTCGACTTCCATTATGTACTAAGAGCAAACTCTCCAATATTATGAAATCGCGTGGAAAACGAGACCACAACATGAAGTAAATATTACCGGGTCAATTTGCGAACAATAACCATACATATCCCCTTCTACTACGACTACTCCCTCCTTCCACTAGGGTTTATCTACGGGTCGAGTTTGCCTCCACATTCACAAAATCTCTTGCCTTTTATTTGTTCTATTGTTCATAATCAATTTGCCTTCCCATAACACAATCACAGTCATTTGGCGGCTGTGCCGGCAGTTCGGGACTGCACGACACGGCCTTACCGCGCGATTACTCTCGGTTATAGTTTCCTAGTCCTAACGGCACAGCCGTCAAATGTTTTTACACTGCAACTGTATGTGTACTGATCAAGTTTTAAAACTTCACACTTCAAATAAACACGATTATTCAAAAGTACATGTACAAGTGGAAAGTACAAATATGGTTCTTATAAACTTACATACAGTTGTAACACCTTTATGTCTGACGTAGCCGCGGATAATATCGTCCTCTTGTGTCTATTCACCTCTACACCAACACACTTCTTCCACAAATGACGCCATCAATGTAACATTCGCGCATCCAAGGCTCAACTGATGAAGGTAATACACGTCACGTGTTCCACATCGATACAGCCACAGTTCAATCACTCCCCAGTGTCCTACAGATGCTCAGAGACTTTTAATCACTCTGTATATGATATAAAATGGAGAAAATATGTTGATTAAATACGACATTTTGATGCATCAGCCGATTAGGACTGCCATTTTACTATTTGTAAGTAAAATGGCAATCCTAATCGGCTGATAGCCTATATAAGAAATGGGTTAGTGATTGTGCATGAATGAATAATGGAAAATTAGTGAAACTTTTATTTTTTCTTCTCGAGATAATTAAGTTAATAATTACATTGTGACTACCACTGAGTGAAGCAAAAGTTCAGTCCAAAAGATCAATACGTTGTCCACTCACTACTTTAATATTTCAAGTGAAATAAATTTAAAAGCAGAACACTGAAACAGGTAAGTAGAAGTGAGATAATAGAATCTGTGTCAGATGTTAGATTAAAGGTACTAGCATACTTCTGAACATAAATAAAACACTCGAGTCTGGTAGACTGCAGATAAGTGATATAATTACTGGATAAAGTTTTGGTGACACATGACTGAAAAATATACCGATATCAAAAAGGGATTCTCCATTGTCTTAGTTGTATTTGACTTACTATGAGACTGTTAGTAATTGGATTTGTGGCTATGGTGTAAAAGTAAAGTAAAGTTTGTCCCACTACACGCCATGTAGGCGTTTGGGGTGAGTGGAGGTATAGCTCCAACTCATTCTTGACCCCGGCACTAGATGGGGGTTTATCCAAAGTATCGCCTCTAATCTTAAAATAAAACAATAGTGATAAAGATAATAATCATAACAAAATAATGATTTTTTTGGTTTTCCAGTCAATCAGTTGAAGATCAGAATTGAGACAAATCCCAAAACATCGTGGAAATCAAATAAATGGTTGCTCATCGTTTAATTAAAACAAGAAATTGTTATAATAAAAAGCAGAATTAAATCTGTCCCACTGCACGCCATGTAGGCGCTTGGGGGGGAGAGCTCCTATTCATTCTTAACATCGGCACGATAATAATAATATCCGATATCAAACATAACTTAGACAATGGAAATTATCCATCATATTCGTGGTGGAAACTAACAGATTTCTTTTGCAGTTACTTATAAATTACCAGGAACTAAGCCCAATTTTTAAGCAGTGTTTCAGACGTGTAGGTATATTTCTTACATACCGGAAGTTGTGTTAGAAAATCTTTACTTCAAAAAAAAAAGTCAGCCAGCCAGTTGAGGTTTACGCTCGAGGCGCACTAGCTGGCTAACGACATTTCTTATCTGATCCATTACCAGTGTCCCAGTGTATGAAATACCACTGAACCACGGGAAAAACAAAAGACTATTTATGTTCCGTTTTTCAAAATGTTAGCCGGGATAACACGGTTAACATGAACGCTTTAACCTCGATGAACACATACAAATATACATATGTATAGGCCTGCTACATTTGTAAGGGTTATCTTGTCCGTCTGTCTGTAGAACGTCAATACACATCCCAATAAATTTGACAGACACATTATTGTGGCAAGAGATTGTTCTTTTAGGACAATGTTGGTGAAAAAATGAGAAATGTTTCAGAATTACGAGTCACCTAAAAATTATATTAGTATCCATATATATTAATTTTGTTACATTTTGAAAGTATTTTAGAAGATACCTTACATAATGATTTTGTTCTGTTGTCTGGCTGTGTGAAGTAAAGTTAGAACAAATTCTAGTCAGTTGAAACCCCAAATCTAAAATGACATTACTACGCCTGAAATTACAAATTTGTTCCAATAATGACAAGTTCTTAATAAAATTTAATTTTCTTAATAATAAATAAATGTACACGAATCAATTCGCTCAACTCGGCACGTGCAGTTCAAACTTCACTCAAAAACTTTTCCTGGAAATGTTCTTGTAGACAGCCCTTCACTTGTTACAGATTTTTTTTTAACAAAGTTTACTTAAAGACAGCACAGTTCAAATTACGAGTCGACTCTCACGTGCCAAACATCGTATTCTTTAGTCTCCGTGTAACTGATTTCCTGTCGCCCTGATACAAAACATTCCACTAAGTTCTCTTCTTATTTTCTAAAAGCACTCCACAAGAAACATTTCACATAACTATTACATGCTACATAAACATTTTCCCGACTTCATATACATTGTTTTACTTTATATTAATATGCAATTTCCACCGAAAAATAACTAATTTTAAAGTAATTATTTATTGAATGTAGTAAAAGATATAATAAACAAGTATTATTCCGATACAGTTCCATTTTTAACTTTTCATACATGTAACGTGTGAATTCGAAAGTTGACAAAATATGTCCTCCACCACCTGTCCACTCATTCTGAAACTGACCATTCAGTTACTTCCAGACAAAATCACTGGAATATGACGGTGTTCCATATTTGTTTACGACTGTGGAGAAGAATTATTTTGTACAATATCCAAATAAAAACATGTTAAATATGTTGAGTATTGATTCGTCTGAGAACAAAATGAAAGTATCATTCCAGTGCTGTACGTAAGCATAACACGTTTTCCTTTGTCGTATCTTTTTAATACTCTACGTAAAAGATAGTTCGATTAGAGCCCAAGATTCGACAGTTATATGACGACCGGGGTTCGATCCCCGACGGGGGCAGAGGATTTTTCCTCTGGCCTCTGCGTCCAGACCGGCTCTGGGGACCAGCCAGCCTCCTCTACAATGGATACCAGGGTCCTTTCCCGGGAGTAAAGCCGGCCGGGGCGTGATGCTGACCACTCACCCCCATCTAGTGCCGGGGTCAAGAAAGAGAGGAGCTATACCTCCTCCCCCCCAAGTGCCTACATGGCGTATAGTGGGACAAACTTTACTTTACTTTACTTTTACCTGGCATGTAGAATATTGCTTCATCAGATAATGCGTCTTTGCTCAAATAATTTTCTAAATGTTTTTGTTAATATTTTATTCGTTCTGTCAATATTATGCCGAGCTCTGTCCATTGTACGAGGTAAACTTGATACAGAGATATAAAGGTTATATGCCTCAGACATTCGACAGTGCCGAATGTGATATAGGTTTTAATCTGTGAAATCCTTCTCAATGGTTCTAAATTATAAAATAATTTTCTTACGTTATAGTTTGGACGATGGATAAAATCTCTAAAAGAACAATTTTACACACGATGATTTTACACAGACTGATGTTTCTTACCTGACCAGTGATGTGATGTGCCATCTGCAGTCAACAGTAATTAGGTTCACGTACGAGTACAGACAGACGCCGTTATTCTAACTCATAATTAGTGACGTTATTCAATAAATATTTAAATCTCAAATCGGCAAAAATAACAACAACAAATATCTCGAATTGAGTTCCGATGTCAGTCAAGTCGTTACAGAACGAATTCAAACAGATGTTGCGTTCAAATGAGATCCGGAAGATGATTTAATGATACGATGATTTTCACCAGCTTCTGAAATAGAATTTCTACAGGTTCTAGAGTAACTTTTTCTGAACTGCTCATTGTTCTTGTTAATTCTTTGAACTGCAGCCGCTGACGCCGAATTATGACGATGCAAACTGCCAGCCCTCGTACGTCTTACACTTTTCCCACCCTTAGATTTTGTGATGGTCATTCTGGTCATCAAAACACTCCCATTCTTTGTATTCGTTCTGCAACTGAAACTACTATTCACACTTGCACGAAATTCGTTGTTGTACCTAAGTGTTGAGCAACAGGAACGACTAGTTATAATTTCTTTAAAGCCGATACGAAATTTTCTGTTGAAAAAAGCATATAAGATCGGATTAACACATGAATTTGAAGCTCCAAGCCATTGTGCTACTGGGAGCAAAGAATGTATCGTAGCTTCTTCAGTTTCAGAAGAGAAAGGTCCTCCAAATTTGACCCTGGTGAAAAGGACGTACAAAGGTAACCATGACAAGGCGAAAGATATGACAACGACAAGTAACATCTTGATGACTTTGACTTTGGAGCGGTGGATCATGAGGTCCACGACTCCACCGTGAGAATGTGGCTCCCCGGGTAGGGTTCTTCTACACACTCGTCGCCAGATGAGTAAGTAGCACAACGAGATGAGGGTCAACGGGAAGAGGTAGCACATCACGAGGTGGGCCACAACAAAATAGATGTTCCCACTGTGTGGGCTCGGCCAGGACTCGGTGCAGATCTGGGAGTACACAAAATATACCATGAAGCTTATTTAATGGATAATGTTCAGATTATAATAAGTAACAGATGGAAAGAAATTTAAAACCGAAATGGTTGTGTGGCTTATCTAGAACAGTGGTATTCAACCTTTTTTGTTCGCGTACCCCCAGATATAATTTCTCTTCAACTTCGTACCCCCAAAGTTGTTGGTGTATAATTCAAATTATACATAGTATATAATCTACATCTAAAATAAATTAAATAAATTACATCCAAAATAATGTATTCAATCTGGCCCTGATTATTCAGTGCTTATAAAATAATACTTTTTTTTAAATTTCACGTACCCCTTAAGATGTCTTCGCGTACCCCAGGTTGAATACCACTGATCTAGAAGGTACCATTATATTTGCAGGCATCGTGCTTGAATCTTAACTCAGAAACCAAATATATGCTTATGCGCATTTGGTACGTTTCTCTTATCCTTCCAGCCAGATATCATGAAGTAATCGATGTTTTTCTTGGTCGTGACGCCGTATAGACTCGTAGGTAGAAACCAGCGTCTAGTAGAAACATCATCAGGGTTAAACTTCTACCCTGAAGTACGGGATAATATGTATCTCCGAAACGTTGATATTTACCTATTTATTTTTATTATTTATTACCAATTGCAACAAAGTAGCAACGTTGTACTGTTAATTTCGAGTTGCGCGAAAGGCGAGGGGTTTAAATACTTCCGTGGCCTTGAAGCATGCAACTTAGTGACGGCTAGAATGGTGGCGACAGGTAGGAAGAATTTACAATGACTTTCTTCAAGGACAGGATGTCCGATCTTACCAGCACATCACTCCCTTCTTCGAGAGGTTTCAATCCGAAGAAGATAGCCCAGGGTAACGTGATGGTAAGGGAAAACGTCCAGATGATGATAACCACGACCCGACAGGCTCGTGACGTCATTTGCCACTTAAGTGGGTAGCAAATGGCGAGGCAGCGTTCAACGGAAATAGCGACCAGGGTGTTGATGGACGCGCTGACCGACACCCCCTGCAGGTAGGGTACAGTCTTGCAGATGACCCAGCCCATAATCCAGGCTGCGAACATAACACCAGTGTGATGATGTTGGGGTTCCTTCGAATCTATTCAAAAATCTGAATATTGGTGTCTCATGGGTTGTAGCGGCGGGTAGAAGTAAACCAACGTTTCAGATGTCTTTGCTGCCGCCATCATCAGGGCGATGATTCATCGCTGAGTCAATAGTCGTTTACCATCGCCCTGATGATGGAGGCAGTAAGACCCCCGAAACGTTGGTAAACATCTACCATACTACACGGCGCAGCAACCCAGAAGACAGAAATCTTCATACTCACCGCTGTGAAAACCTCAAATCATGCATAGTAATTATTTGTGGTACGCAAGACATCCACAACAGGTCAAAAATTTAGACGTTTTTGTCAACCCACTGTAATATGAATGTCATGAAGTGGTCTATGTGGTTGATTGACTTCTAATTACTCGCTCTGAAATTTAGACACAGAGCTACGCAAAGGTAAAAAAAGCATAAAATAACAATATATCGAAACCACATAACCACAGATGTATGAAACAGCTTATAAAATAAATTGAAAATGCCAAATGTGGTCCAGTACATGAGTAATATCATCGAGAAGTAACATCTATGTCACAAAAGGATGTGCGGGACTCGTAACATATGCATGATAAAAATTGCAAATAACAAGTGTTTTTAAAATATATGACAAAATAAATGGGTCTTAAGCTTTAAAAGTAAAATAAAAATATAAACTATTAAATGTAAATTAATAACACGTGATTTTATTGCAAAATCAATGTATTTACTTTATAACAAGTAACCGGGGCAGCAAGTACCTTTGAAACGTCGATAAACGTCTACTAGACTACACGGTGCTACAAACCAGAATACAGACATCTTCATCTTCCATTACTGTTTGTTACAAACAAATAAATTAAACGGGCAGTCCTCACTCTTAGGAATATTTCCGTTCCTGGGGACAATTCGCAAAGCGAATCTCTATTACCTATAAGTCCAAATGTTATAATTTGGAGTTAAATTCCCAAACGATATGAAAATTAATTAAAAGATATAAATCGACTATTTTATTGCACGAAACAAAGCAAACAATCAACAGAAACAGATTATTAAATATTCTACGAAAAGAATGCTACACGCGGCTTTACTGGCTGAACCAAAAACGTGGTGTTTGGTGGACACAAATTTCATATTTGGGTTCCATCGCGTCTTTCAATTGTTTTTGTTAGCATGATTAAAATATAGACAATATGTTCCTCGGAAACCACGATATTTTTACCTTCATGTCCACACGGCGGTACTGCACAGAAAACCAACAATGACAGTAAATATACAGTCGCGTAGGAAGTCAAAAATATTCCAGGTACCCGAATATTTATTACCATGTTCACAAAAATCCGAATCTGGTCACCATCCAGGGTCATGTGAATCCAATCCATATTTTTTAACATCAATTTTAATATTATTATTCTAGTTTATGTCTATCCCCCCCAAATAGTGTTCTTGTTCGTTCAAAATTTGTGTCCAAAAGTTTTTATGTATTTATTATTCTTCCCATGTATCAATAAAGTCCTGTCCAGTCTCATCGTATTAATTTGATCACTCTAATATATTACAAAGGAAACAAATTATAAATCATTTTATATTATTCATAAATTAAATTTATAAACATAATTACCAACTATATCCGTGCATCAGAGTCCTTGTATGGAAACCATTAATCTCACCATTAATTTGTTTGTAGTTTATTTAACGACGCCAACCGCAGCTCAGATTTCATAGCGTCGAATAAGAGGATTATAATAAATAATAAATTGTAAAGGATGTGGAAGGGAGCAGTCGTGGCCTAATTTAAGGCACTTTCAGGAATTTGCGTGAACTGAGGAAAACCATGAAAACATCAGTGACGTTAGTCGATCTCTGGGCAGAGATTTAAACACGGGATGTCCAAAATATGAAGCTAATATTCGGTTTTCTCTGCCTATTATTGCATTTGAAGGTTAACTTCAGTACTCACGCGAAACTAACACTGAACGTCTACTGATTAGATGAATTCCAATCTAAATGTCTGCATAGTTAAATATTGCTATTGTGACAAGAATGTACTCAAATTAAATTCGGCGTGAATGTAACCAGCACCTTGTTACCATGGACAGCTTGTTCTTGTTTGGACAGAGAGCCAAATTACAATGTTCCTTTGTGTCAGCTCAGGTTTAACATATGCAATTGCTTGCTGTACTCTGTGTTCAAACCGCAGTTACAGTTCACATCAAACAGACGGCAGCACTAGCAGTCATTTAGGGGTTGAGAGGGGTGCGGGGGGAGGGCGCTGTCGGGGTTCAACGTGAACTTTGACACCGCTATCACCAGTCACAGACGCTGATTCCAAATCCGATGTATCTTGCAGAAATCTAAGACTCTGTCACAGTGTAGCGGTATTTCGTTCTGAACTGTGGTTATGCAAATCAGGGATTTAAACCTGGTGCATTTCATTTATGTAAATTAGCCATGAATCATACGTGATGAAATTTTAATGCTTTCATCCAACATGGAATCATTAGCAAGCGAAGCGTGTAACGTATAAACCCACTCACTAGCAAGGTCCTACACACCCACATATAAAGCTTTTTCTAAGAATAAAACCAGTAACAAGTTTCTATTTTAGTGCATCTTGATGAGATGGGTAAAACATGTAGCGTGCAAGAAAGATGAGAAATATCTACAATATATTGATTGGAAACCCTGAAGCAAGAAACCACTCGAAAGACAGGAATAAATGGAGGGTAATATTAAAGAATATCTTAAAGAAATGGAATTTGATAATAGGGCTCGACTTCACTACATTTACCAGGTACTTCATATATACCCAAATACAGCAGTTTAAAAAAGTGTCGAAGTAAATGGATTTTGCAGCAAATACACAACGTTTTTTTAAAAATGTTGACTAAGAAACGCGGTTATGCGCCTACCAAATAAAGGATTACGCCATCTTGCAGTCACAGTTCTCGCCTTTCGTGTAGAGGAATATCTGTCAGCGATCTTTCTAAAATGTCCACAACCTCTAACGACTGACTTTCAGAAACATGTTTATTACATCTTTTGACTCGAACTGAGCCCCCAAACACGTCCCTAATCTACGGATATCCTAATGCGAAACAGACTTTGCATTTACATATGGATTCACATTACTATTTAAACCTACTCCTATGTTACAGTGTAAATCTACAAAATTAGGTAACGTATTAGACGTGTTTCTGCACAGCTTGAAAATAAGATAATAACGTTGGAACATGCATCTACAGTATTTTAAACAACATGAACTGGTGACGGTTTAAAGCTCATAAAAGCAGCCTACTTTCAAGAACGCAACTAAATGTACTAACACAACGCGCTCTTAATTCCTATGGAGCAGTTAACAAGCAAATCTCCGCTATTTGAACACGGAGCGACGGCTCAACACCTGGGTTACGATGCCGTCCATTTTAATGACTGTGAGCAAACTAAATATTTGACCGAGTCTCCGTTTATTTTACTAAGCTTATCCAGCTCAATAAATTATGTAGTGTCAAATAGTAGGATGAACTCTTAATGAAGACTTATAAAGACGAGAAAGGAAACTTTACTCATGATTCCAAAATAACTGAAAAGATTTTCATAAATTTTGGTGTGGACGTCATGCCACTGGAGGTAACTACAAGCTTTTTACGTCTTAATTTCTTTAATCGTTAATACCAATTTGATAGATACTCGAAATTTCGAGGTGGAGAGATGGCCGTCTGTGATGACATTACCCATGATTCCCGGCTATAACGGCAACGCTATAATGACGTCATCTGCTTGACATTAGCAACCAATCAGATAGACACCATACTCCCCACCCACGCAAGTATTACCCGCTCAGGATAAATCCAAAACTTAAAATTAAACCTAATGTTTATTGTGTCCCTGACCTCCCTTCCTCCAACCCCATATAACTCCCTCCATTTCTCAGCATTGTCACTTCAGCCCTGAAGATGAAGACGGCATGTTTCTCTAAACTGCAACAAAAACCCAGAAGGACATAATATTTATATGTGTGGATGCAACGCGAGGCAACTTGGGTTAGTACAAACGTCTGCACCATGGCAGTTTTATTATTTTCTATGATGTAAATAAAAAATCCTTACCAAAGCCCGTGTGTATGACCACTACTCTGTAAAATGAGCCGGGATAGCTCAGTCAGTATAGTGACTAGCTACGGGCTGGACGACTGGGGTTCGATCCCCGACGGGGGCAGAGAATTTTTCCTCTAGCCTCTGCGTCCAGACCGGCTCTGGGGCCCACCCAGCCTCCTCTACAATGGGTACCAGGGTTCTTTCCCGGGGGTAAAGCCGGCCGGGGCGTGATGCTGACCACTCACCCCCATCTAGTGCCGAGGTCAAGGAAGAGAGAAGCTATACCTCCACTCCCCCCAAACGCCTACATAGCGTATAGTGGGACAAACTTTACTTTTTTTTACCATTAAATTCTGTAATAATATAAATTAACTATTTAATACTATTATACATCTCACAATTTTAAAGGATTTATTAGCTACTCTCACGCAATGGATAGTTTTCAGTTAATAAGTAAGAGAGAAATAAAATTTTGGTTTAGAATTACGGGCGGCCTGTTGTAAGAATTCTTAACACTTCGTACTCTTCATCATCAAAGCTATCATCAGCCATTTTAATCCTCTCTGTAAGGGTTTCTTTCTCTCATTCAGTTTCCCAGAACTGAACTTTTCAGCGGGCCGGGACCTGAAAATGCGACATAATCCGACACGCGAGAGACGAGGTTACGAAGATCAGCTTAGGCAGGCTTATACCGTTTTCAGAGCTTACACAGCAAGATTATAGAAACTGTGTGATTCTTGATACCGTACAACAAAGCAGTGTCTTTTATTTGGCAAAATAAAAAAGTTAAACACTTCATATTGTTATAAAACTGTGTACCTTAAACGGATAAAACTATTAATACTCACAACCTTAGTAAAACATGTTAGTG